ACCATTTTCACCATACACCATAACCACCATGGATCTCAATCCACTGTTTGCACAATAAACAATAATCAACAATGTATATCTGTATCTCAGGTATGATGTATGATTCGCAGGAATAAACACATCAAGAATATCTTGGCACACACACACCCAAATCCTCTCAAGGATATACAACTTTAGGAAGGGTGTATGCCAACTCATGGCAGTGACGAATCAACCCAGGAATTGTATACTAACCCTCATCCTCGATACCTGTGAGAAAATAGTGGTTTGGTCCTCACAAGGCACCAACCCCACTATGAGTGGTAGAAAAAATTCAAACACATCTACCCACTCTACGATACCCAGTCAACGGCCATCCATGGTCATCCAAACACTCACAATAGATACAATAACCAACCAATTTCTTCAAATCATAACCCAATCCAAAATCTCTAAATTTCACATATAATATTACAATAGAACCATTTAAGAAAATATGCAAGAGATCATCATAAATATCATTGTATTATTCAATATCAAACACTAGAGTTTTGAAATCAAGAACAAAGGAAAAATTAAGAGAAAAATTCATTTCTCCTGAAAACTAGGGTTTGAAGATTTAATGGTTACCCAACCATAACCTTGTTCAAAACATGGTAATAATTGCAAAAATAACAAGAATCAATGATTTTATAGCATACATATGTGATTTAGAGTCAAAGAGTACATATATATATATAAACCTTAGCCTCAATATAAGAGAAAGGGAAGAAACCCCTACCTTCTTCTTCCTTAGTTTGGTGTGGAGACTTGAAGCTTTGATCTTTTCCAACTTGAATCTGCTATTTAAATCTCTTGTTTTTCTCCTCCTTTCTTCCTCTCTAAGCCTCTCTAGGATTATAAGTGTTGAAATGGGGCTCAAGAGGGTGTCCTTAAGTATTTATAGGAGGCCAAATAGTGTCCTGTACGCGAATCTGAAAGCCAAAATCCGTAAGTCATGTTTGAATGTCACTTGGCGTTCGAACGTCACTTGGCGTTCGAACATCACTAGTGCAATTTAGTGATCAATGTTCGAACGTCACTTCGGCTTTTGAATGTTGGTTGCTTCTAGTACTTTTTCATTTTCATCAGAGATCTGCAGAGACCAAAGTATTGGGACTCACTACCGTTCGAACGTTCTCTTAGTTTCTACTGTAACTTTCAGTGCAGTTGTGGCATATTTAGAAGTTGATTTAGAAAATTTACATGAAATACACTTTTGTATCCCTATAAGTTTACTATCGACTATCAAAATTTTAGATCAAATGGACATCAAAATACAAATTTATGATCCAAATACTAGGCAGTGTCCAAAATCCTTTCTACCCAAATTTTGTCTAAAATGTGTTTTCACTCTGAAATATTTCCAAACTTCTACAACACACCCTATTACCTCAACTAACATTTTATCTCTACTCTTACAATCCACCTAGTCCATGCATACATCATTACATATATTAGCGTTTCAAAACATAATTACGTTGCTATATAAAGAATAGAATGTGGGGGTTTACAATACTAGAGCATCAAGTACTCTCTTTCAAATCTATACAATAATGATTAAAGACTTAATTCTTACCCCTAGACAAGAATCAAATGTCAGTTGATTCAGGTCACCAAATTTAGCAATAATACCACAAGAACACGTTTGTTTATAATCAAAAGATATTTAGGAATCTGAATAATCATTCAATTATATTATCCTGTTAAATAATGATAATCTACTTATGCATGAAATAACCAGTTATTTGACTCGTTGGAAAGTTCAAGCAATCAATGTACATGACACAATGACTTAAGGATTTTTATAGGGCAAAAACTTTGCCAAGAAATTAAATGTTGAATTAACAAAATATCACATACCATTAAGCTCATAAGTCAATAACATTACTATACTTCATTAAGAGGTCCTCTCCTAGCCCTAGCTAAACCTTTTAGCCAGATATGACAAATTAAAATCAAGATAAAAAGATGGAAAAAAAATAATAATCCTCTGTTCCTAGATGAGAACCCTTATTTATACTAAAATAAATCTTAAGAAAAGATAGAAGATATAAGGTCGGATTGGAACGAATTTCTTTCCAAAAAGAAGTCTTGTAAGGTTAAATCCCGTGCATAAAATCTTGGAACCGTGGATACAAAATCAGTCCAAAATTTGAACTTGAATTTCACATATTTAAAGGCTGATTTGCAAAATTTTTGTGAAATACATTTTTATAGCCTTTAGAGTCTTCTTTCCACCCCCGTAAAAATCATGTCAATCGGATATTGGAGTCAAAATTTCTGACTAAAATACTGAAAACGTGTCAAATCCTTATCTTTTAGAATATTTTCCTAATCTAACTTTAAATGAGTTTTCTTCTACCTTGGACTCTTTTAAGGATTAAATTAATGCCATATTTTCAAAATTTTCTATCTCAATCTTGACCCTTCAATTATTATCAATTATGATTCTTCCTCTAGTGATTGTTTCACTTGCCTTACTCTAAATCAACCAATTTACGTGCAAAATAAACCAAACAACTAGGAAAAATATCAAACTAGAAAATTAAGGAATTTAACACAATCACAAATAATATGCAATTAACCAATCATTAAATATAATAAAATAACACTTTTAATGGTTAATCAAATCTCCTCCATCATTCATGGTAAACAATTGTGGATCTGGATAGAGAAATCCATTCAATAGATTTAAACTTGTCCATTTTTGTTAAATGCAAATTTTATTAGCATCCTTCTAAGGGGACCATTATAGAATTTGTGTCCTCACCCACTTGTACAGTTCATCATCTTCAAGGAGAAGGTAGAGAATTTGTTTCATCAGAAGCTCTCAAAAGGGTCTTTCAATTTCCACTCTTTGAATTTATCTGGGCCTTTTCCTCCCCCCCCCTCTCTCTATTTGTCTCAATCTCTCTGTTAATCTTTGCCTCTACCTTTGTTATTAAGCTTACACCACGTTTGTCCTTCCTCTAGAGCTGCCGCCACCGCCATAGCGGAACCCTACCCGGAAGAAGCACCTAGAGTCTCCATGGAAGGCAAAAAAATCTTCAATAGACCACTCCACCTCCATATGCAAACTACCTCCCCTGTGGACCCCAGAGTCTTAGACACCATGCTTCCTTACTACCTTTCTCACTTCGGCAAACCCCACTGTCAAACCTACCTTTACGACTGGGAATCGAACAACATTGTCAAGTCTGTTTGGTCCCATGTCTCTGCCCTAATCAACGCCTCTGCTAGGAAAAATTGCGATTGATGTGGAATTTTTAAATAATATCCTTCATTAAGGGTATTGTAAGAGATAAAAATGATATTTTACCGTCTCTTATGATATGATTTGAATGGCTGGAGTATTTGTTTACAACACAACTTCCCCTGCAAAAATGAACAAACTGCCTATGATTGGGGTGGATCGATCAAAGGTACTTCGATGCTTAAGTTAGTAAGTGCTTGGGACCGAAGAGAATAATAAGGGCGGTTATGTGTACCTTTCATGAATCTCCTCGGCCCCTTTTCTAGATCCTTTTGCATCTTTTTGGGCTTTCCTAGGTTACAAGATGCAGTGATACACCTCGTTACGCCGGACTTTCAGCCAATTAGTGGGAATCTCTACAACACTCCCGAATTAGTTGATTCCTCGGCATCATTGATGGCACGTGTTAGGATTTCTCTACTTTGTTTTCAATCATCTTGATGATTAGCAATCTTTACCTTACTTGGTTTGGGATGTTAATCCTTTAATTATGCTTGGCCCTGTTCTCAAGTCGGCATGTAATTCTCATCCCGACCTCTTTTTGGCTTAGTATGATATTGTTGTGAATAGTTTTAGTGCACATGACCCCCTCACGTGCCGAAATCATTTATTCTTGATGCGTCCTCTAAATATTTTGTCCCTTCATTTATCCCTACGAAATGTACGTCACGTGGCATATGATGGGGGTCATTTCATATTTTGAAGCTAATGATCAACTGTCTTTTCGAGCTATAAATCCCACTTGCACACATTTGAAATTACTCGTTATTTTTTGTCATATCCTTTTAATCTTTAGGAGTTGTCCTTTTGGCATTTTTTTCTCTCCTTTAAAATGTGTCTTCTTCCTCAACTTTCTCTTAGCTTCTATTTTTCCTCTGAACTTATATCTTTCTCCTTTGTTTCTTATTTTTTCTCACAAGTGGCACCTCTCTCCACTAGAGATTCCTGCCTTCAGAGTTAAATATAACATTCATGATGATGTGAAGGTTCAGATCACTGGAACTGACAAACCCTTGATTGGAAAAAGGGAGATCGCATTTTCATCCCCTCCTTATTTGTGTCCTTTCTGCGCTGAAGTTTTGCCCCATCCACTGTTGCCCCAACTTTTTCTGAATCGTGATGGGAGTAGCAACTCTTAACAATCTCCTAGGCTTGAGCCTTGATTGATGGGAGATCCTCTACTTCTACATCATCAAGTCATCAGGGAAAAACTATTACCTTGTAGTTAGGAAGAATGATCGCTACCTCGTGATCCATTTTTTAGATTCGAACAAGGGTCACGAGAATGATGTGGTCTTTATTTCTAGGAATTAGGAATACATGGTTGGGGATATGCCATCATACAGATGCCCTAATGAAGAAGGTGCACTACGTATTTGAAGATATGTTTCCCCATGCTTCATTTTGTCTATCTATTTTCCTTTTCCTTTTTACTTATTGTCTCCTCCTTATGGGATTTCTCTTTCTCTTTTGGAGGTGAAACCGCCAAAGGGAAGATCTCATAGAGCTCTGTGAAGATGGATGACTTGAAGAAGGTATGATCTTTTAATGAAATCCTATTTTTTCGAGCTGCTAACATGTTGTTAGCTTACACGCCTAACTATATTTCCTTCATTGCGGTCCCTGATTACCCCAATGCCACTTTTGCTAAGGACCGTGAAGCTTCACAAACTGTACGTGCTCAGACTCCTCTCTCTTGCAAGAAGTCTTCCTTAAGTGCTGGTAGAAGGAACATACCAGTAGGAACTTCCTTGACTTTCTTACCCCTGTCCTCATTGTCAAACCCGTTCATACCTCAGATTCGTTAACTCTCCCTTCAGATGACACTCCTCAGCCAAATCAAACTGAACCTAGGCTGGTCAATATTCCAAATGATGCCGTTAAAACAACTATTCAAGCGAGTGTCCAAGATGACCCTGTACAGCCAAACCTACCCTCTCAACTAGAAATTCAAAAGTCCCCCAATATTGCTGTAAATCCTCTTGCTGACCCAACTAAAGAAATAACTCTTGTTCCCGTCGAGAAACGTGCATTGAAGAGGCTGCATATATCTTTGCTTGGTCCCTCTGTGACCTCCGAGCGAGTGATTCCTCTTTTTCACCCAATCTTGAAGGCAAAAGGGAAGGAAATCTTGATTTGCAACTCGACAGTTGATGATGTCAATGTGGCAGTGAGGGTCAAAAATTCAAAATGATGGCACAACACAAGCTGCCATATCTACGGAGGCTCCGCTTTGAACTCATCCAGTTTGTAGATTCCCTTTGAAAAACCAACTTTGACAACTTCAAGAATACAATTTGCCCTTAGTAGCGAATGAGCGTACAGATCAATTCATCACAAGAGTCATGTCCAACAGTAATTGGTTTGATCCCAACTATAAAGTGAAGCCCTATCATGAACACATGCATAATCAACTGGATCTACTGGGTAAACCTGTAGTGTGTTGGTGTGGAAGCACACCATAGCAAGGGCAGTGATTCTCCCTTGTGACTTAGTTGCCAATAAGAGTATGTTAGATGATGAAATAACCCACCAAACCATTCAGCAGATGATGCTGGTAAAATCCTCAACTCTTTATTTCCTTTTTTGCTTCCTTTTTCTTTTGTGACATGACTGATTGAACTTTATTTTTTTTGAAGAAATTAGGGTTTGTAGAAGGTCCACAAAGTTGGTACGAGGATCGTGAAAAAGGATAAGGCTATGAAGCAGGCCATCTATGATCACATGGCAACTTTAGCGAAGAAAAAGACTGTGTATACATGCCGAGTATACAAAGCTTTGCGAAGATATGCTTGTTCTTCAGGCGTAGTTGATTAGCCTGGCTGAAGAGAATGGGAGGCTCAGATCTCAAGTGAAAGATCTGAAAACCTCTAAGTTTGTTGTCACTGCAGAACTTCTCCAAATCGAAACCGACTATGCCTCCTTTCTTGAATAATATGAATCTTTTAAAGCCAAGTCTAAGGAGCGAGAGGATGATGCCTTTGAACAGGGGCTGGAGAAGGCTAAAGGCGAGCTAGCTCTACAAATTCCTTTACTTGAGAGGGCACACTTCTCAAAGGGTTGGTTGGCTGCTCTACAAGCAGTTAACGTGTGTTTGTCATCCGAGTTGTTTTCTTGCTACCCTGCTACTAGTTCCATGCCACGTTCTGCTGATTAGACCTAAGGATATTGTATTTTCTTTCTTTTTTAGATGCCTTATTTTGAAAAAATTGTTATAAAAGCTTCCTTTTGCATGAATATTTTCCCTTTCTCCCCTTCTTCATTTACAAACTTTCACATTAGATTGATAGAACTTTAACAAATTTACAAGAAAAAACATCCTTTAGTAAATTTACTAGGCTCAGGGAACTCAGCTCTCAGCTACATGTTATGGGCTCAAAAAAATATTATTATTATTTTTTTAGAAAATGTTGGCTTTTTGTAAATCTATTCGGTCTTAGTCCCGGAGCTCATCCTTTAGCCTAGTGCTTGGAATTTAAAGCCCTTAATCTGATTACAAAAGGTGTTGACCTTTAGCAAATTAGCTCGGCCTTTAGTCTTGTGGTCAAAAAAATCTTGAATTCTTTACAAAAGGTGCTAGCCTTTTGCAAATTTGTTCGACCTAAATCCTAGAGCTCGACCTTTAGCTCTTTTGCGCGGGATTTCAAAGAACTTAATCAATTACAGAAGATGCTAGCCTTTAGTGAATTTTCTCAGACTAAATCCCAGAGCTTGGGTTTTAGCCTTGTGCTCAAGAAACATCTCCGTATAAAATACATCTACCTTTAGCATATTTACTTGACCATTGCACTGACCAGCCGATGTGATCGGACTCGAAACTCTACCTATTTGGCTTACATCATCATGCCTAGCCTCGAGTTGGGTCCTGATCGGGTGGCTACACATAATTCAGGCTTTCGCCCCTTTTCAGAAATTTTTGCCTCATTGTCTTAGTATTAGGATGAGATTTTGCCTTTCAGAGGGCCAATAAAGAAATAGGGGGGAGGGGGGGTTCCCAAAGGCACTTTTAAACCAATCCAATCCTTGTTCATTGATCAAAAAATATTACATAAGATTGACTAGTTTACTAAGTTGTGTACTGACCAACGTTTTTCAAGGGGAATTACTATGTTTTTCAACGTTTTCCATCCATGGATCTGAGTTCATAAGACCCATTTCGTTCGACCCCAGTTGACTTTGAGTTTTCCATGTGATGGGTTCTTGGTGGAACCCATGACCCTCCTCAGCACTAGGTCCCCAAGGCTAAAACTTTGAGGGTGAACCTTCTTGTTGTGAGCCTAATACATTTGTTGCTGATAAGCAATAAGCCTATTTGCTTCTGCTTTTCTTTTTTCTTTTACTAGATCTAACTCTCTACCGATGATAGTGTCATTATCACCCTTACCAGTTAGATCAATCCTACTTGTAGGGAGACCAACCTCTAGAGGTATTATAACCTCCATGTCATAGGCTAAAGCATAAGGAGTTTCCCTCGTTGCTCATCGTGGTGTGGTTCGGTATGTCCATAGTACGCTGAACAACTTTTCCACCCATCTACCTTTTGCCCTGTCAAGCATTTTCTTGATTTCATCTAGAATTGTTTTACTCAAGATCTCAGCTTGCCCATTATCCTAGGGGTAGGTGAGTGTAGATTAATGGTTTCATATCCCATAATACTTACAGAACGTTTTAAAGGGCCCATTTTCGAATTGGGTCCTGTTGTTAGAGATAAGAGCCATTGGTATATCATACCTTGTAATGATATTGCTCCAGATGAACCTTCTGATATCCGTATCCTAGATGTTGGCTAGGGGCTCAGTCTCTATCCACTATGTGAAATAATTCATTCTAACGAGGAGTAATCTCTTGTTTCTAGGTGCTTGGGGCATCGGCCCAACGATGTCAAGTCCCCATTATACAAAGGCACATGGACTTGTCAGTGGCAACAAATCTCACATGTGTCTCGGTATTGGTGTAAACAATTGGCACTTTTCACAATGTTTTACGTACTATTGTGTATCTTTTTTTGCATATAAGGCCACCAGTACCCTTGAGAAAATGCTCAGTGAGCCAATGACATTCCCCTAGTATAAGAACCACAATTTCCCTCGTGAAATTCGAAGAGTAAATTTTGGACCTTGTTTGGATACACGCAAAATAGGTACGAGTATGTGAATAAGCGCAATTGTAACTCTTCTTTCGGGGATAGCTAGAATTGGGTGGCTTTAAGACAAACTTTGTGTGCGTCTTTTTTATTCTCGGGCAGTGCTCCATTCTTGAGATAGTCTACAATTTGATCCATCCAACTAGGTCCCAGTTTGGCTGTCAGAACTTTGGAAGGCAACTGGTATTCTATACATGGTTGGTCTTGGCACTCGAATTTAATGATCCTATCCATCTTTTCCTTGATTTCTGATGATAGGGCGGCCAACACACCGCATAAGAATTTTTGGCTCGGGCAATCTACTGAATGGAATACGACTAATTTCTCTCCTGGATAAATCGAAGTAAACAAGAATTTTTTCGTCTTTCACCAAGTACTCTCCTGATATTTGATTCACAAGTAATTATGAGTCAAAAAATACTTCTAGCCACTCTATGTTCATGTCGGCTGCAAGTCTAATGCCCGCCAAAAGGGCCTTGTACTCGACCTCATTGTTTGATGCCTGGAACCCGAGCCTTATGGATATTTCTAGTATATCTTCTTTAGGGCTTTTGACTATGACTCTAATCCCAACTCTCCTCTGGTTTGATGATCTATCTACGAACAACTTCCAACTATTTTCCAAGTGCGTAGCGTCTCCCTTAGCCATGGCATTCTCATCTGTGCTAAGTTTTGTCGAGTGGTTGGTTTTAGGTTGGCTGTTCATTGGATAAAATTTGACTAAAGAATCGGACGTTATTTGCCTCCTGATTGCAGTTTGGGGTTCAAAGACGATGCCAAACTCACCAAGCCCCACAGCCCATCTTGACATCCTACCTGATAAGTCAGCCTTCTTGAAGAGCGCTTTAAGTGGTTGATTGGTTAACACCACAATTGTGTGTGCCTCGGAAGTAATGACGTAGTTTTCTGGTTGAACTCATGAGTACCAGTGCTAGCTTTGCGAGTGGTAGGTACCTTGTTTCTGCATCCAGAAACATCTTGTTCACGTAGTAAATTGGACTCTACCTTTTTGGGGAGTCCTTCATAAGTGCCCCATTTACTGCATGCTATAGCATGACCAAATGCAGCAAGAGGTATTCTTCTGGTGTCAACATTACTAGTAGTGGGGGCATGACTAGGTATATTTTCAGTTCATTGTAGGCATTTTCACATTCTTGACCCCATATTTCTCCCTCTCTTTACTTGATAGATTGGAAAAATGGCCTGCATTTGTCTAATGCCCTAGATATAAATTTGTTTAGGTCACTGCCATACCAGTTAGTCTTTGCAACTCTTTGATTGTCCTTGGTGGTTGCAAGTGTGTCAGTGCTCGTACTTGGTTTGGATTTGCTTCGATACCCCGATGAGTAACAAGGTCCCCAAAACTTTTCCAAGCTGACTCCAAATGAGCACTTCGATGCGTTCAGCTTCATTCAAAATTTGTGAAGAATCTCGAAGGTCCCCTGAAGGTTTGCCAAGTGGTCAACAGCTCTCTAACTCTTCACCATCATGTTGTCAATATACGCCTCCATAGTATCACCTAACATGCTTTGGAACAATTTTGTTACCAAACTCTGATAAGTTGCTCCTACATTTTTTAGGCCAAAAGGCAAGATTTTATAGAAGTATATTCTTTTTGGTGTTATGAATAATGTTTTCTCTTGGTCATGCTTAGCAAATGGAATTTGGTGATACCCCTTGCAAGCATCAAGGAAGCTCTTTTGTTCAGCTGATCAAGGAAAATGGCCCTTTGGGCATGCCTTATTGAGGTCAGTAAAGTGAACACAAACTCTCTATTTTTCGGTCTTCTTTTTTACCACCACTGTGTTCGATAACTAGGTCGGATATTAGACCTCTTGTCGTAAGAAATTTTGCAACCTCCTCCTTCATAGATTCTCAGTGTTGTGACACTGATATTCGCTGCTTCTGCTTAAATGGTTTAAAGGTCGGATCCACATTCAAGTGATGACATATGACCTTCAAAGGGATTCTCGACATCTCGTAAGGTGTCCATCCAAAAAAATCAATATTTCTTCTAAGGATGGATATCAACTCTTCGTGTTCTTTGGGCG